ACTATTTTGCATTCTCTTTAATAATATGTTAAAGCCCTTTTCTAAACTAGCATACAGAATTTTTTTCCAAAGCTCCAGTTTCATTTATTTTTTAAAAAATATTTTAATGTTGGCACCAATTAAAAAACAAAAAAAGAAAAAGAAAAGAAAACACATTCAGACTGCTATTTCCCCAGAAAGGACTGTTTTCCTTCCTTCTTTATTTTATAGACGTAGTGATAACCTGTTGGACTGATCAAATCCTGGCACTTAAGGGAACTTAACCCTAGCTGGTATTTTCCGCAGGGCCTCTTTGACGTCTTTATTTCTCAGGCTGTAGATCAAGGGGTTCAGCATGGGGATGACCACGGTGTAGAACACCGACACCACTTTGTCCCTTTCCAGGGTGTAGCTGGTGCTAGGTCTGGAGTAGATGAACAGGATGGAGCCGTAGTACAGGGTGACAGCTGTCAGGTGGGAGCCACATGTGGAGAAGGCCTTGAGGCGGCCCTGGGCGGAGCGGATCTGCAGGATGGCCACAAGGATAAAGAGGTAGGAGGCCAGGATGAGCACAGAAGGGGTGATGACGTTGGAGGACAGGATGAAGTACAGCACAGCCTGGTAGCTGGGCTCCACATCACATGCCAGCTTAACAAGCGGAGGCAGGTCACAGAAGAAATCATCAATGATGTTGTCACCACAGAAGCTCAGAGTGAATGTCTCACTGGTGATAATAGTGGAGTTTACAAAGCCCCCCAGGTAGGAAGCTGTGACAAGACTGACACATAGCCTTGGGGACATGGCCTGGGAATACAGCAAGGGTTTGGAGATGGCCACGTAGCGGTCGTAGGCCATGGCGGCCAGCAGGTAGCACTCACTGTAGGCCAGTCCAGCGGAGAAGAAGAACTGAGCCATGCAGCCTGCAAAGGAGATACTTTTGTCCTCAGAGATGCAGGTCACTAGGATTTTAGGGGCATAGACAGAAGCATACCAGAGGTCCAGGAAGGACAGGTTTCCAATGAAGAAGTACATGG